AACAGTCTCTGAACACTATTATATCAGCTTCTAAATTTCCAAAACTTGAATCCTGCAACCTCAAGCATTAATAGCCCCAGCAGCAATGAACACACACACATACTTGTAAGATGACATGCCATAGCCACTCACTACCCCGATAATGATAATAACAACATTTGTAATGTGAGTAACAACATTTGTAATCAAATTAACCACTCCGGTCATGCCCATTGGCAACTTCCGCCATCTCCCTTGGGGGAATTAAGCAAATGGTAAAAATGTGTTGACAAAATAGCATACAAGTACACCTGAAGAACATTATGATATGTTTATATTAACATTCAGACTTTACTACATGTATAATGGAATTGACTACTGAAGTGATAATATTTACCAAAAACCAGTACGCCTATGACAGAAGTTACATAACTTGTATTCAAATGACAAGTTAACATTAAGATTAAACCACCACCTAATGTTTCCTTGTCATTCAGAGTACAAACATATCCTACCCAGTTAACATCATTTACAAAAAAGATAACCTCTCTATCAACTATTCTCCCAAAAAATTAAGGGTTCAAAAGTTATTCTATTTACACCAAAAAAATTACTCCTTAACGTTAGACCCAATGTCAGATGTCATCAAAGCCTGCTAACCTGCAACAAAGAAGCATAAATCAATATTTTAGTTACCCAATAATCAATTTCATTTATCTTTCGAAACACCCAAAAAATACACACACCCACTTACTCCATTGACAACTTAAATATAGGATTTTACAATTTCAGTAATGAATTTAACAACACTGACCACCTCGTGCTTACTATTTGTCACCATTTTTCCATTTCCGACGCGTCACTCCCTCGTCCTGGTCAAATTATTCATCCAAACTCTCTACACTCACAGACCCATCCCCATTCGAGCATGCAGCAACAAAGAAATCGGGTGATACTAGCGTTTTAATAGAAAAATTGCTTACCTTTTCCCTCTTTCCAGATTTCCACCCTTGCTCTAGCTTCGTCTTCTCAGCCTCTCTCTCTTCTGGTATATTATTGTTTTCTTTGCAGTTCATATCTTCAGAGAAGTTGAGGATATTTTAGTCTTTCTACCGAATTGACAAAATTCCAGATTGATACCCCATACCCATTTGGTCATTTCAGTTATTTGTATACTCATTTTGTCATTTCAAATTTCAACCGTCCTTTTTCTGTCATTTTCCCTTATTAATATGTGCACTGTTGTGAATATTCGATTAACGTGATTTGATCTTCATATTAATATACCGAGGAGGAAGTTATAATTCATATCATATAATCATACTTTTTATTATCCTTTTTTAGCCAGAGGACTTTTTAAAATAATTCTTACATAACAGTCAATTGAGAATATATTTTATAATTGAGGAGACGAGATTAGGGAAAAATTGAAAGGAGTAATTCTATCTTAAGATTATTGTAAATAGGAACATTTTCTGGTTGCTTTTTGGCATTTGGCAAATAGATTTAGTGACTGTGATAATGTAATTGCAGGGACAGATGAAGGTCATTGCCGCCTATCCACTGGCTCAATTAGGTGGCAGTTAGTCTCCGCCTGTGGCGGATATACAAAATATTCTGGGTGCTGGTAAGTATTCGACTTTGTATTTATATTATTCAAAATTCTTATATTGATAACTAATATTTTTTTAAAATTAATTTTCAGTTGGTTCAACTGCTTCCGAGGATAGCATTCAGTTTCTTATAGGCGAGATTGACGCGAATGGGGGAGATGTAACTCATATTGCTGCTGCAGGGAGGAATGGTTTCTTTATTTTTCTTTTTTTCTTTTGGCTTTTACTCGACGAGCATATACTGCCCGTGCAACATCCGGAGTGTCTGTTTTTGTTGCTCAAATCAAATATTTTGAGGAGTAGATTTCATATCACATGAGAGACCAATTCATTTTCCTATCAATCAGTGAATTGAAATGTCTTGATAGATTGAAAAATTGGAAAAAATGGATAAATTGAAAGTAACTCTTATATTAAGAACCAGAGGTAGTACCATATAAAAAAACTACTTTTTTTTTCTTCACACCTTACATATTTCCTATAACCTGAAGTTACATTTCCTCCCTTCTTTATTCAACTTGGAAGCTTTGCTTGCCTTCTTATTATTAAAAAAAAAAAAGGGGGGGGAGAAGTCACTTTTCGGAAGCTATTAAGTGATAATACATGACCTGAGAAAGTAAACTGCGTGGGAGAAATTAACAAATTTAACAAATTTGTATTGAATCCAACCACTTTTACTCATGTCCAATATCAATAAATTTCTGATGCAGAGCTTATCAGATTAAGACAGCAAACAACATACTCAGCTTTGTTGTGCTTGTCAGGTGCAGAGCTCATAGGTAAAAAATAACCTTATAGTATGTCCATACTTTAGTATATTATAAAATACTCCTTCGGTCCTAAACATAGGACCGATTTTGTAGTGTAATTTTACACTACAAAATCGGTCCTATGTTTAGAACCGAAGGAGTATATCTGAATTTTTTATTTGAAAATTCTCATTGTAAGAGGTGAATTCCAGATAAATAACAGTCCAAAAGCGACAGATGGCATTAGCGAACTACAAGAAACTATAGAATGAAGTTATTTTTAAGAAAAATCTACAGTAAATCAAATCTTATACAAGCTCTAACGTTTTCTCACTCAATGATCTTCTAGCTTTCATGCTACAACTCCCAGCCATTCTTTGTAGTTTGAATACAGATTAGATCTTAAAGAATATAGCTAATATTTTTAGAAGTGATGAGAAATAAAGAGAATGAAATGTTGAAAAGAATTGTACTAAAATCACCAATACAAGAGACACAGAATACGATTAACATCAGCAATGGTTTAGTTGAGCTGAGCGAGTGCGGAATACAGGCATACAGCACACGCAGGCTATGAAAAATAGCAGCTCAAATGAAAATAGTACATCTGGTTCTTGATTAATTTGCCGTAATTAAAAAAAACTAAATTAATTAATTATAGTATATATTATATGACGTCTCTAAAATATTTATATGTATTATTAGATTATATATCAATTTTATAAGTGAAAAAAATTAGTTTGAAGAGAAACAATAAATATAAATAGTTTTAAATAATTTAATAAAATTTTTAATTTTTTAAATTAGTCAGTGGAGTCTTATAGAAGTAACTAATTTAAAAACGAAAACCGTAAACCATTGATACGGTCCACATTAAAATTGTAATTGACGTCTGATGACTTCATCACGGGGATTAGTGGGTGAAGATCATCGCATATTCATAAATCATAAGTTTGTGGGCATAATCTTTATTACCTAGCGTTATAAATATATAAGATAAAAGTGTATTTTTTATCATTTAATTTCATATAAGGTTTTGTATTTTAATTTTATTAATAAAAATATCAACATTAAAATTTCCAGTGTAAATAAAATATTCTTAAATACTTATATATTAAGTTTAATTTTTTAAAATAATAATTACTGGCACAAAAAAATTAACACTTAAGACCAAAATCTTAGGACTAGATAACTGAAAGTACTTTATAAAATTAAAAGAACAAACTGAAATCTTATAAAATTAGATAATCAAATATTTGCTTTTTTCCTAAAAACAAATCTATAAATAATCTAATCACAAAATTTGAAACGGATTGTCGTAAATAGTTGTACACGTAACATGACAAGATAGATTTGGTTTTGTAGTTTTTATTTGAATTTTAAAATATATATCTTTTTAATAATCGTAATAATCTTAATTTGGTGAAGGAGGATGCACTTATTACAACGGGATATTATCCTCGGGGAAAATCGCAAAAAAATCATGAAAATTGTGAAATTATAAATTAGGTATGTTGTTAAAAATTTGTTATCATTTCCATTTGATTTTATCAAAATCAATACGAGCCTTGTAACGGGTCCTGATTTATAATTTTGCAATTTTTATTACTTTTTTAGTTTTTTTTATAACAGAGTTACTCAACTAATTTGAGTACATTAAGAATATTAATTAAATTAGTTAATATGATTTTTTTTAAAACACTCTCAGTATCTTTTTTAATTTTCTTCTTCCCTCTCCTACTTGATTATTAATGAGAGAATATGAATCGGACTAATTTTAAAAATTGGTAAACATATGAAATATATTATATATAAAACTAATATTAACTTTCTAATTAAATCTTATATTTGGAACTGGAAGAGTTTCTTTTGTTGTTGCAATTTTTCCTTATCCTAATCCCGAAACTAAAGAGAAGTAGACTTGGTGATTGATTGAGTGGTTAAAAATTTGATTGAAGGGGTCGTGTGTCCATTCCAGGGGATGTTAAGACTTAAGACATTCGCTGACTTTGCAAATCCGCGTTTTTTTTTTTTTCTTCTTGTGGACACTTCACGCATGGTTCCTTTATTTAATTGATAGTATTTTCTATTGATGGTAAAAAAAAAAAAATCCTAATTAAGGTATAGTCGTTAGTTCTTTTAATTTAAAGTAACACACGCATATTACAATTACAGGAATACCTTGAATACCTTAAATACATTCAACTTATTTCTTGGATATGCAAGGTTAATCAGTCTAAATGTTTTAGATATTAATATTCTCGGTCTTCATTGATTAAACTAAAATATATTAACTTTGATTTTTAATATAAGACCTAATTAATTAATTTGACGAGACTAAAAAAATTTAGTTAAGTTAGTTATTTATAACAAATAAATTTTCTCTTTCTTAGAATATCTTTAATAATTATGTGTATTAGTTAAAACTATCATTTAATAAAACTTTTAATATGTACAACTATTACAATAACTATTTTAAAAAAAGGATTAAATATAAGAGACAGTACATTAAAATATTATATTTAAGATCATATGTCAAACTAGCTCTTATATTAAATACCAAAAATAATATATAGATATATCTCTTTGGATTTAATAATCGACATCATACCCATGTAATAGAAGATGTATAAATAATGGATAACAGATTTTTTTTTTCCCGCCGGAATCATATAAGAAAACATATTTGAATGAAACAAAACCCAGAGTGCGGGCACATGTGCGTATATATATCAAAGGCATCGCGAGTTCCCGACCTATCTTTCCAATTTCTCTTGAGCGCAACCCTTGGAGCTGCCAACAATTTTTATAACAGCGAATGTACAATTTTCTCTGCCTTGTTGGTTTACACAATGCATACCACCATTTCGAATTTTTATCTTATGCTTTAAATCATTCTGCCATTAGTGTTATTTTCAGCTACAAAACACAAACTAACAAGAATGAACGAGAGATATGTACAAGAAAAGAATGATAGACAAAACCTCTTCACTTGAGGTATACTCAAATGACCAAAAACATAACTACTTTCTCCATGTCATCCGTAAACTGATCATTCCAAAAAGCCCACCATATCATAAAATGTAGCATTTTGTTCCAGGGATAATGAGGGCATTCTATCTATATTAGTCACTCAGCTTAAAGATATAGTTCACAAAACACAAATTGTGGCAGCAATAACTTACATGACAAAGGTTATTATACGTAGTTTCTTCTGCACTTCATAATAGTACTTAAACCAGGGCGGGCCGGTAGTTAAGTTGTTTCACTAGGTGGCTGCAAAAGCGTGGAAGGACCCAAGGGGTCATGCACAACTGAATTTGAAGAAATTGATATGGGATTGCCCTCTAATTGCAACATGATACTTCCCAGAATCTCAGTTAAGATTTTCTTGAACTTGTCATCCTTAACCGTCTTTCCATCATCTGCATCTATCATCTTAAAGACTTCCCCAATAACTTTATCCATCTGTAAGTCATACCCGTGAATTTTACAGAAATGGATCCAGAAAAAAACTATACATACTCGTCTTCTGAATTGAAAACAACGAAAACTGTAACCCAGTATAGCATCATATTAGTCATCTGGTATGCTTGCTTATTTCAAACAAAGTGCAAGGATTTGCAATATGAGGATGGATTTACTGTGAGCATTTGCAACGTACCTCTTCAATGGCACCAAATGGAGGCAAACCAGCAGATGGAGACACCATATCCAGAGCCACCCGCAGATGGTCCTTCGACAATTTTCCATTTCGATCTTTTGGCAGATTTTCTAAAGCCGAGTTCAAGGTCTGCAACTCATTACAGATTGGCAAATTACGCGCCTATACGGAGCTCCAACTAAAGTAAATCAATAATATGAAAGACTTTACACAGAAATCTAATGAAAAGCAAACCTTTTCGAACTCGAACTTGCTGGATAATAGTTTCTTAACACCAGTTCCATCAAAAGTGTTTCGACTGTGGGCAACAATGACAGGCTGCTCCTTAAGATATTCAGCCACCTTCAAAGCCACTTTCCTAAATTCCGTCAGAAATATCTCTTGAGAAACGGGCTCATCCCAAGCAGGGCCGGCTTGAGATTGTAGTGCGGGATCCACAATGTTGTTAAATACCTAATGCAACGAGGTTGGGAATTTCTCACTATTGAAATGGAAAATAATACCTTTACGAACACATTAAATTAATATTCATGGTCCTAAACAGTCAAAAATATAAATTTGCAGAAAAATTAAGTCCTAAGTCTGCACAGCTTTATCAGTTAACTAATTACCCAAGAATCAGAAGTGGGAGGAATTCCTTGTTCAACAGTAAGCTTCCCCATGGCTTCAACTATATGATCACGGAGTGATAAATTCGGGGACTTAATCTCGAAGAACATGGATGCCATTTCTGGTTCATAACTTGGACCATTAACAAATTCAAATAGATCTTCCCCCTCAATACGAAGTATCATAATTGGGTCTCGCTTCAGTCCAGCAGCCATACCCAATAGAATATCAGAGAGAACCTCTTTGAACTCGGCCTTGCTTACTTTCTCCGCCTTCCCATGGGTGAACTCATATAAGACCTATGAAGCAAGTCAAGTCAATAGAAAGCTTAACACGCATAGAACATCCAGCATGCAAACTGCAAAATTATCAAAGTAACTCAAGGGATTGAACAGAGCTTGGTCTTCCCCTGCAGATTTTTTTGCATGCATGACGATAGTACTTCACATATCACAAACTTAAAGGCACAAAAAAGAAAAAGAAAAAAGGAGGGAAGAAAAAATATAACACCACTTGAATGCCACGGTCCAAAACAAAGTCAGTTGCTGTAGAATTATATTACTTCTTTTTCCTCTCGTGGCTGTGACATCTTACGCAATATATATTTATTGCTTGTCCATCATAAGCATACAGTCGGTAAGACATTTGCTTTTCCCTAAAGTATGCCACTACAAGGACAACTATACCTGTCCTGTCCCCACTCCCCACAAGAGCAATGCCTTCAAAAAGAAGCTTGGGTACACACAGTTTTTCATTGACTACAACAGCACATTGACTTCTTGTTACTTCAGAGTCCAAACTTTACAAAACCTTCTGTATAGCAGAGTTTAGAATCTTAATATCATCTAAACAGCAATAATCACCATGACCTAATTAAGAAAGACAGGAAATTGCACTTCGTTGTGGGAGACGCAGGCCTGAAGAAGTCAATATTTTATACTAAACATCAGAATTCTTTGTTTTTATCATTCAAATAATTATAAAGTACTAATTAAGGTAACAATATATTATTATATAAAGTATAACGATTGGATATTATTTTACTATTTATTGATTATTGATGTGCTTCTTAATTTATTTTTTCAAATCCAGTATGATTTTAAAAATTTGCCCAAGTGCGTGAAATTTTGGGAATTGAATTCTCTCCACTACCCTTCCCATCCTCTTCCCCTTCACCACCCTCCTTTTCTCTTCACAACCATTGGATCAAAACTCCAATGGTCCAGATTTAATATTTTATAAAAATAAATATTATGATAAAAAATAGATAAATAAATTTAAACTGTTAAAATCTAATCTGAACAGTTCATAACTACATACTGTTATTATAGAACAAATTTTTTAAAATTTTTTTTATTATAGTTGTAAATTATTCAGACTAGATTTTAACAGTTTAAATTTTTTTTTTTAATAACATTATTTTTATAAGATGTTAAATCTGGACCATTAGAATTTTGATCCAATGGTTGTAAAGAGAAAAGAAGGATAGCGGAGGGAAAAAGGATAGAAAGGTAGTGGAGAGAATTTAAGTCTGAAATTTTGAGGATGGTTTAACCTTGAGAAAAGGCACAGTAGAGCAGGAAAAGCAAATGAATGTGAAAAGCAGAGTCAACAGAACCGACCGACCGATCAAGCTATCACATTCATAGGTAGGATACTTATGGGGCAGCTAGACGTCGAAATCTAGTTCTCTGAAGCCGAAGAAGAACATTACTTGGCATCAAATGAGAGGAAAGAATATCACCTCCTGTATTTTTCACGAGCAAAACAAATTTTAGTCTCTTCCTGCCTTAGCATCTTAAAGCATCAAACTAGGAGATTTTACAGTGGCCCACAGACACAGGAAAAGACGGAAAGAGTGCCTAGTTCTTTCAAACGTCACAAGAAAGCTTAAAATCCACAGACAGAACATATAATTCAAATATTCTTTAGGAATCATAATAATTACGGAAACATTGAAATGACAGGATTTCACAACCACAAGTTAACCAGAAGCAGAAGTTCAAGCATATCGAACACCTCATCTTAGCCATAAGGATTGGTAAGCTACAGTTTATCTTTCCATCCTTCTCTTAGAATTATAATAACTACTTCATCTCCAAGGGCCCTCTTAATCCTTACTTAATAGCTAATTAAAACTAGTGACGGTTTCTTCTCCCATAATGCAGAGTCCCAGCACGACATCCAAAGAAATTAACCTAATTAAGTTATGTAATTTTCATATTCAACTCACCGACCTCACAACATTGCCAAAAGTCCAAGCAAGTTCAGCTTAATCACCAAATCAAGAGAACTCCAGTACTCATCTACAAAACTAGAGAAATATAGAGTACAGAGTAGAAACCTCAGAATAAATGTGGTCGGACTCAGGATTCGTGCCCTGAGCAGGCAATCCGAGAGCAGCACCGATATCGGCGACGGCAGGCTGGAGCTCCTGCACCGAGAGCTTACCGTCGCTGTCTCTATCCAACTCCCGAAACTTATGGTCCACGAAATTGGTGAAAACTTGATGGTTCCCAACCAACTCCATTATATTGGAACCATCTAGAACCTGTCCATTTGCGACGCTTCTCTTCTTACTTGATAAAACTGCGTCCATTCTGCGTTACAACTTACTAGTACAATTGATAGGGATCTTGCTTTGTGCTGTGAGTCGTCAGTCCTGCGAACTTGGAGCTGGAGTAAGAGTTGTGCTTTGTGGGCTTCGGAGTTTGAAACCTACCTAACTTAGCTTGTCTCTGTGCAAGAGTGGTGGGGAACATGAAGGAGAGAGAAGGTGAAGGAGGGATGAAAGGGAATGGGCCAGCAATGGCCTCCCAAAATACCGAAGGAATATCGAGAATTATTACTTCCTTAGAAGGCCAAACACAGCATGTGCTGCAAAAGCTACATGGTCCTGTTTGGATGGAATTTCCTTCCTGATCGTGTTTTTTTTTGCTTTCTTGACTTTCTTCTTAAACCTTTGAAGCCTTTGATTAAAGACTCTAATTACGAACGTTGATTATTTTATGGAGTGCAATATAAGCTCAATGCATTGCAGGCTTGGTAAGCTTAATTATGAAGTAGGACATGCACGTACTAATTAAGCAAAAAGTAAGGCGACAGTCTTCGGTGGAGGGAAAAAAAATGTTGATAATGGTTTCATATTTATTGACTTAACTCGCCCATAAAATCTGCAAGGTTTTGGAGCCCCCCCCCGGGGGAAGACGGAACAAGTTCCTTTAAATAAGCACGAATTTTAATTATATGTTAATGATTTTAGTGACGTTTAAAATAGGAAAAAACTTTCTACCTTCTTGAACTTAACATTTAACTTAGGAAAAAAAATAATGTCTATAGTTTTATTTTCACTTAATTTTTAATTAGATTATTATAATTTTACCTTATTTTTAATTCGGTGAAATTATATAGAGACTTGAAAATTAATTTTCTCTCATATATCTCCTTAAGTTTTATCTTTTTAAAATTTTCCAGATAAAGCAAACAAGTTCTTATGAGAATATAATATGGGGAAATTACAATCAGATTCTACATAAGAAAAATAATTATCAAAAAATCTCAATAACAACATCAACATCCTATAATGACAAGTTTTATAATAAGAATGACAACTTCTGAGATTTGTTTTTTAATTATTTTTCTTACTTAGAATCTCATTGTAATTTTTTCACGTAATATTATAAACGTAAGTGGGCACTAATCAATTTGGGGATGGGACACGTGGGGTCATGGATGGTGCTCCACCTAAGTCTTAAACCCTGCTATCCTGTCTTTTTTTTTTGTTTATTATAAGAAGAAAAAAATCACACAGCACTGCAGTTTCCCATGGTGACGGTGGGGTGGGAGCCACTCCATCCCAAAGTTCAGAACTCAGGTATTTCCAGAAGTGACCATAGATAAGGAGAATAAAGTCTTAAATAGAAAATGTACTAAATTCACCAAAATATGGGAACAGGGCGCGACTAACACGGCAAACCATTGTCTAGCTGAATTGAGTAAATGCGGAATAGTGGAATACGACACATGCAGGCGCCACAACAAATGTCCATCTGACGGGTGCTACAACACGTTGGCTGTCACTTGACTTTGAGGGATTTATTATTTAGATCACTGTATATGCTTGTTTATTTACTAATTAACTCACTTTACTGTATAAGCTCAATGTTTGTTTTCCGCTTCCTAGTTTTGTTTATTTAGACATGAAGATTTTAAACGAATCCCATCCTGGATGTTTTGATCGCTTACGTTTAGATAGGGTTTAAATGTAGTTGTTGTGTTGTACTGATTTATCTTTAGCAAGTTCATCTTACCCTTTAAAAAAAAAAAGTTTTGTTTACTTTTGTCCTTTTCAGGTTCCTTTGCTTTTGCCTACCCGCCATCGCAACAAATGTATTACTTATCTAATTTTAAATTTATATGTTTTATTTCCCTTCTTTTAAAATAACTTCTTACGGTTGGAAGGAAAAATGGATTGAACTGAAGTAAATTTCATAAACGTGCGGGATTTTTTTCCCCAATGGGAACGCGGTATACAATTATTGTTTCAATTTTAAAATTGAATGCTTAGATGATTTAATAATTATTTTCGTCTATTACGTACTCGTCAGGTTCATTTTGTGCAGCCCATCTAGCTCATCTAAGTATCTCCACTTGATAGGGAGATCAATGTGATATTTCCGATTTGATTGTTTTAAAAAAGAGTATACGTATTAAATATAGTTTAATCCTTTCCTTCACTGTTTTGGAAGAATATACATTAAATAGTTCCAAAACAATCACGTAAGAACAAGCAATATACATATATAGTCGTTAAGTTGAATGAAAAAGGACAATATAGTACAACGATGATTTGGATTTATTACATGCATATTTCATGATCAGGGAACTAATTAATTACACGTAGGTTTTGACATAAAATGTAATTAAACTGGGAAGCTAGCTAGGTGGAAGATTTGAGTTGGGAGGTGAGGCTAAGGAACTGGTCTTCCTGGCAAGGAAGAGAGAGGCCACCCATGGGATGATGAAACCCAAACTCTTGCTCATATCGCCCAAGCAAATCCAGAAACATGGGATGGTTCAGGTACGATATGGGAACCACGAACCTCTTCCTTTGCAACTCTCCCACGTAAACCGCTATGTGTCCACGCGGAACTACGTTCTTGTCATTCACCGACGACGACGGCGGCTCATGATGATTCCGGTGACTATGAACATGATTCTGCGGCCACTTCATTATTTTCCTCGCTTGCTGAACCACAGATAGCAGACGACCACCCATAATTCTCTGATATCTCTCTCTGTGTGTGTTTGTATATATGGTACTGTATTCTTGCCTTGGAGTGAAGGATTTGGTTGTATTTATAGTGAATGGTGTGATGCGTTCAAGTTGAGGAATACGGTGACAAAACTGACCAGGTTTAGAGGACCCACCCGGTCCAAGAGATTGATCAAACTCTCACATGCATGGTTTTCCCCACTTGGCTTCGCTCCACTCTATATCTTACTTGGCCTCTTCCTCATCACTTCTCATATTTCTCCCTTAACCACCTTCTTTTGCAGGCGTCCCAAACCAAAACTGAGTGCCGTACACTGAAAGCGGGAAAAACCTTTCCCCAATAATGTTTCACTTTTTTTATATTCTTGCAAACAATTTTTTCCCACGTTTATTTTATTTAGAGATTAGGAGGTCATTGAGTAATAATTTATAATTTTCTTATTTAATTTGAATCTAAGTTTCCTTTTTCTATAAAACTTGCTCAGACGTTATTAATGTATTATAGCCTGCAACATGTATTTAACTTGTAAGTAGAAATATACGTGAATTAAAAAAAAGACAATGTGTTTAGCTCGAGCTTAGTTTATTACTTATTAGAGAATACTACTTTCCGTTTTAAATATAAAAACTAGATGATTAATTTAAGTAAATTAAAAAAATAAGTTAAATTAATTCTTTGTAATAAATAAGTATCGTCTTTCTTAAAATATCCTTACCAATTAATTTTATTGACTATAATTATTATTAGAAGGACTATTTTAAAAAAAAATAAATAAATACAAAAAATAAAATAAATGAAAATTTTATATTCAGGAACAAAATAAAAATAAAAATCAAATAAGATAAGATCAGAAGTAACATATAAATAAAAAATAATGATAACTGAAAAAGAAAATGTAAATAACACTGCTGGTCAAAGAAAAGTGAGAATAACAAGTTTGACACTAGAGCCATAAATGAAAAATTGGGTAGGCACGAGAGAACAAGGAGGACAAAAGTACAAGAAGAGTAATATAATACTCCCTCCGTTCCTTATTATAAGAGACGAATAACCGAATTACGTTGATCAAAAAAACAGTTAAAATTGGTTAAGAACAATCAATGTGTAAAAAGTACAATTTTTTTCCAAAAATACCCTCATTAATAAGGAGAGAGAGCATGAGAGAGAACAATTAAATTATTAAAAGAAAGAGAAGTGGGAGAGAGAGTGTGTGTGAGTTGGAGACAATAAATATGGGTAAAATTGGAAATCAACACAAAAAAGTAGAGACAGCTTTTAAGTGTCTCTTATATATAGGAACATGCCATAAGCATCAAATGTCTCTTATAATAAGGAACGGAGGGAGTAACACGTAGGGAACGTGGTGTATATTTTGTCAGAAGATAAGCAGGAATGGGCAAATCTTGCGAAGATATTGTGGGGAGTAGTGCCTCATCATTATCCCGCTCATTCTCTCTCCATCTGAGATATGCAACTCCAGGCTCCAGCCAAACACTAATAATAATAATAATCATAATGCCAACCCCCTTCCCGTCCTTGTAATTACTAATTAATGCATCTCAGGAGCTTCCTATTCAAATCTCCCCTTTTTTTTCCCCTATAATTACATTACATTTCCTTTAATATTTATCTAAGTTTTCTTTTGCCAGCATTAGAATTCGGCTAAATATTTTATCGTCAAATTTAGGTACGTAGCCGGTAGCCAGTATAGTTAAGGGTTAAACCAGAAGGCAATATGTTTGTTTGAATGAGCGGAGGAGGAGGTTTATAAGGAAAAGCAGTAAAAGGGAGGGAAGGACGTAAAATGCATGATGATGATGAATCAGAACAGAACATGTACGTACATTTGTCGTGTCATGTTACGCAGTTGGACAACAATGGGATCCATTTATAGCTCTACATCCAGCTTGGCAGTCTCTTGTTTGTTCGCCTCAGCCCACTGTTTCGTACCTTTTCTTTTTCGGTGACATGTTTCGTATCTTTTCTCTTTACCATCGTTTTGGAACTGCCCGTGTTCTTTAAAGCAAAACACAGCCGATTTCGTTGAATTTTATATTTTACAAGGAGTTCGGCTTTAATTTATTATTGATGTTACTTTTATATTTAATTTTTTTTCACATCTTTATTAATTTTTTAAAAATTAATCCTATTGATTCCTCTTAATAATAATCAAATAAAGAGGAAGAGAATGAATTAAGAAAGATGATCTGGATATTTTTAAAAAAATATCATATTAACTAGATTAACTACTGTTTTTAATTTTTTTAAATTAATTAATTACGTTTTACATTAAGGGGGTGTTTAGAACACCCCATAATCACTTTTCAGAAGTTTTTTTTCGTAAATCGAGATAAAATCTTCCACATATTTATTTCGTACACCGTAAAAACATTTGTGAAACTATAGTTTTGTTCTTACCCAAACACTCCCTAAGAGAAGTGACAACCTGGATTGCTGCAGCAACTGAATGAACATTTGTTGCGTGGCCCAAATCGTGTGCGTTATGTGGAGGCCCAATAGACCCAACAACGGTTTTTTTTGTAATGAGAACAGACCCAACAATTTGAAACTCCAAAAAACTCAATCTGCAACCGTGTTTGTTCGTGCCAATTCTGCAACCGGATTTTTCAAAAAGAATGTCAAAGTAAAGCAGGGCGATGGACCAAAAAGAGAATTAAAGAAGGCACAGCCAATATTCATGTTTTTTTATAACTGAGAGATCATGACTTTAATTCTATATGATATGCAAAGTGAGCATATTTTACTTTATTTCCTGCACTCTCACATTTTCATGCATAACCACGTATAATTATAAAACTGATAGTATTTGCACAAAATGAGCATATAAAGTGCAAGTTGCGTACTCTTATCTGGCCCATGACAAAAAATTCACGCTGGAATTTAATTTCTCACTCTCAGTCTCTTTACTCTGTATTTTAAGTGGTCCTTTTGTGTCATTCTTTTGATATTAAACATACCTTTCTTGTTGCATTAGAAAAAAAGAACCCTTTCTTGTTTTTGCCTTAAAAAAAATTTCTCTGGAAACACAAGGATACGCTATTGGCTTAACTTATCCGTTTTGAATTTTATAATCTCAATTAGAAATATTTTTCGTGCAATAGTATTCAATTATCTTGAAAGAAAAATGATTGGATTTGATTTTAACGTCACATCAATAAGTGATGAACGGATAATAGTAAATAAATTTAATTTTATCATATGGTATTTCCATTGATATTGTCCGAAGAACTCAGCCCTCAGATGATAAAGAAAAATAGAAAATACCCGAAACTTTGGCGCCGCGGACTGCAACCACCCAACTATTCACCTTTCTTGTTTCTTTTAAGCCTGTGCTTAGTTACAAAAGTGCAATTGATACTTAAAGATATTTTAAATCCAATCCGATAATAGTTCATACTAGATCGTTGTGTTAAAAAAAGATTAAAAGAGAGTCGTCAATGTGATTCAGCAAAATGTTAAATGAATTATATACAATCAAGAGACACTTTATAATCCGCCGTTGGGCGGATCCCATTGTACGAAACGAATTGAAGAGACTGGCTCATTTGTTCCAATCTTTGAGGTAATAATATAAACCGGAAAATGAACACTCAAATAAAAACCAAACCATCACACTCTATGAATAACCAAGAGATGAAGTTAGGGTGATGAAGTGATCTTCAGTGCACGGAATCGTTAGACCTCCCATTGGATGGTTGAATCCAAACTCCTCTTCAGCCCAATCAAGCAAATCTCTGAACAAAGGGTGGTTCAAGTACGATATAGGAATCACAAACCTCTTATGTCTCTCCCCAACATACACTGCAAAATGCCCTCTTGGAACATCACTGTTATGAGCTGAAGCCATTTTGATTCTTGCTGAAAGGCTTCGCTGCAGTTTCTGCAGTTTCTTCATGGTGGACGAACTTAAATTAATATCAGTCTAGAGTTGATAGGCTTGGGTTGAACTCTTCATTACAAACTAAATTTATACTCACACACACGCAGAGATGGGCAAGCCATAAAGTACTTGCTACAGAATGTTCAGAGACATAGCAGGTGAAGGACTTGAGGTAGGTACACATGATTGTGCCTTGTTTGTGACAAAACACGAGGACCCACTAACTTTAGGAGCCAAAAAGAAAATTGTGGTTCTCCTTAAAAGATATATCATACTATTGCTTGTTGCTCTGAACTTTTTGACTCTAGACATGCTCTTGACATAGCATGCTGGCATGAGTGTGAATTCAACGGGGTCTTGTATTGGTCTGGTCTTGCTTATCCAAAGGAGCTTTGAATTTAGACCGGTGTTATTTTGTAGCCTTTTCCTATTATAACAAGTGAAAGCCAACATCTAGAGTGGTAGTGGACCCTCAATTATTCTGAAACAAGATCCTTGGTAACAGATTTTCTGGTGCAGAGTTGACTCTATTCTTTTTGCTGAGTCATTGGAGTTATGATGATACTTTTTTATGGTCACTTATAGTCATAAAGTTCCATGAATCCTTACCAAGAAAACGAATTCTTTGTGATAGTGGTTTTGATCATGATCCTTGCATGCCGAATCTCCTTTTACTTTGCTCTTCTAGTGGAGCACGAGCACTAACTGGTGCTTCTAGCTCTAGAGGATATTCTTTACTGCAGAAAGATGTAAGTCAGCGCAGAACACATTTTGTTTCTCCTAGGCAATAAGTGAACTACAGGTACCACTATATTTGAAAGGATTTGGAAGTAAATATCATGCTTTTCTTCAGTGCATCTGCTGGACATTGTGATTAGTTTTCAAAAGCTAATGTTATGAGTCTCACATTGGGGAATCTCACAAGTGTTGTGGGATTTATAAGTTCAAGGGACTCTCCCTCCTAATAGGCTAGTCTTTTGGGATGGGCTCTCCTTTTGGGTTTATGCTCATCACATTGGTGCTTTCATTGAGAGTTGGCCAACCGGAAAGGGATACCTGCGGAGGGTTCTGACCGGTAAGAAAACCGAGTGAAGTGCCGTAGAGTGGAGCCGCCGGGGATGTCGGCTCTCGAGAGGGGTGCTCTGTTATGAGTCCCACATTGGGAAATCGCACAAGTGTTGTGGGGTTTATAAGTTCAAGGGGTTCTCCCTCCCAATAGGCTAGTCTTTTGGGATTGGGCTCTCCCCTTGGGCTTATGCTCATCATATTGGTGCTTTCATTGAGAGTTGGCCAACTGGAAAGGGCTACTTGCGGAGGGTTCTGACCGGTAAGAAGACCGAGTGAAGTGCCGTAGAGTGGAGCCGCCGGGGACGTCGGTTCTCAAGAGGGGTGCTTTGTTATGAGTCCCACATTGGGAAATCTCACAAGTGTTGTGGGGTTTATAAGTTCAAGGGGCTCTCCCTCCCAATAGGCTAGTCTTTTGGGATTGGGCTCTCCCCTTGAGCTTATGCTCATCACAGCTAATGATTTAGCAGTGCTGTTTGTGAGATATCCCAACCCACGATGTCTAAACAGCACAACACGACACAGTTTAATGATATCTATACAACAAGTCTTGGTCAAATCATAATGTTAAAAACTTGGAGTTGGAGATTTTGCTATAGTTCCCCCCGTTTTGTCCTCGTGAGGGCTGGAAAATTGTCCATCTAAATGAGTGATTTGAACCTTTTTAGTCGCCTTGGGTTAAATCAAAAATAAAACCAAATTATGCAGTAAAGCACAACTCGGGTCGTGTCTCTTGAGGAGCCTTTTATTAATTCCTAAGTTAACTAAGTGACAAAGAATAAAAAGGGGGGTTGAAAAAGGATTTTTCAATTAATAAAACTAATTATGAAAATAAGAAATAAATCTAAACTATTTTTTTGGGTATTTTTAATAAAGAAAGAATGAAAAATGCAAATTTGAATTTTAGAAAATCAGTAATGAGAATGCTTCTTGAAAACAGAATGTAGCTATCCTTGCTTAATAAAAGATATAGGAGTAAAATAATTCACCAAGTTAAGAGAAACAATCCCAAACACGGTTTGGGTCAAGTAAACTCAACACTTAACTACCCTAAACGCTAGATAGTAATCAAGTTATTAAGTTACTTTTAAAAACCACTTAATGTGCAATTTAAATTGAGTTAATAAAACTTGTTTCCCTCTCAAAGAATGCTCACGGAGACACTCAATTGCAATACATCTCAATCATAAAATCTAACAACGCGCCAGATAAGATAATTTTAATGAATGCAAAGGAAATATATATGAACTCAAATCCCAAGTAATACAACTCAAATTAAATTGCAAAAATCCAATTAACAGAAATTATAACGCATAATCTCAGTCTCCAAATCAAATGAAAACATTCCTAACACAGGAAAAATCTAATGAAGTCCAAGAGAAAATTAATTGGAAAACTAAATACTCCCCTAGTTGAAGCTCCAAGCTCAAGCTACTCTTCTATCTTCAAGAAGCACAAGGAAATTAGCCTCTCATGACTCTAGCAGAATCCACAATATTTTTGAAGCAATGAGAATTCATGGAGGCTTTGGTGAGAAAGTGGGTGTGAAGATTATTTGTAGAAGAATACAAATAATGGGGGTCGACGGTGATGACGATAGTTATGGAAGAGATGGATGATGATAATGAAGCCTGTGGAATAGGTGGACAACGCGCCACTATGGGTGAAGTGCGTCTTTGGCCGAAGGGGGAATGTGAGAATTGAATGGGTGCGCCGCTTGTGATTGCGTGAGAACTGGTGTATATCTGTGGAGCGGGGATGAGGCGTTTGAATATGAGTGTGTGTACGGTGGTATATATAGGAATGGAATGGGGGGGGGGGCTGTGATATCTGCGTGAAGGAGGAGATATAATATATATCCAAATCAAATATCAAAGATAGGCATGTGGATAATTTCTGTGTCCTCTTTTTGAATCCATAAAAATATAGATAATATCATATCTGATGCCATCCAAGCTGTGTCTCCAATTTCCTTCTTTTTGCATTTTTTTATTTCCTTCCTTTCAGCTTTCTATGATCTTTATTTCCTTATTTTTAAGGCCTGCAAAAGATAAAATGAGATGCTATCATAAAATCCAGAATCAATTATTTAAAAAGAGATAAAAATATGATAAGATCTTCTATTAAATCTCTAATTTCATGCAATTAATATTTGATTCAAAATATCTACAATCAATGCAATTTATCCCACTTTAATTGATAAATATCTCTAAAAAGATATCAAACAATATATTAAAATCAGCATTTATCAATGAGAAGTTCAAGAACAGAATCACTGTAATTTTCTGCTGATTAGCCCACCAAAACCAAACTATTTCATAATTAAAAAGTTTTATCCAGTCAAATAGTCACCTTTGATTACTAGAAAGCTACCTTTTTTCCCCCCCTTCCATAACTTGGAAATTTTAATATTCAAATGCTTTGTCTATAATTTTTATCGAATACATTAATTCGACCAAGCGTACAGCACTAAGCATGATACATGTGAATCTTCTATAAGAAACTCGAGAGTTCTCTATGAAACTAAGAAGAAAAAGCTCTTCTAATAGTTATTCTGTTCGGTCTGTTCCACTTTCTTATGTGCATCTAGGGCCAATTGGTTGAAATCGGAACAGAGCAAACTCAGATTTCGAAGGAAGTTTTACTTTGAACATAAAGGCCTGTTTTGCATTTTAAAGAGGCATATTCTCTAAGAGCACTTTTAAGTGTACTCTTGTATACGAATAATATTCAGTAGTTTTTTTGGCCAAACTATCCTGTAGTATTAACTCCAATGTTTCTGTTAAAATTGCAAAGAAATAATGGAGAAGAGCAGGATTCATTTTGTTTGTACGAAAAGCAGCATACATAGCTAACAGCTTGAGCAAGCATGCTCCATCAACTACTTCATTAATTGCAACAAAATTTGTCATTCTCGTCGACACCAGAAAAATTTCTAATTTTTCAAGTCACCTAATTTCGTCTTCAGTATTTAGTTGTACCTAAAAATAAGCCAAGCGAAATCCCCCTGAGAAGCTGACATTTCAGAATATTTATTTACCTGAACTGATGATGTTTGTTTCTTGCAATTTAATACTTAAACAAAACTTCATAAAGCCTCAATTTTCTTTTTATTTTAAAAGCATGCCAAAAATTACTTAGCTTCAATTAAATGATGCTAGAACATGCTATATGAATTTGTGTGAACGAGATAAGGGGAAGATATGTGATGTCTTAAGCATGTCTATAAATTAAAATGAAGACAATGATAAACATTACATGGATGTTAGGCTTTGAAATGAACAATTCATATGATCCTTCTTGATATTTGACAAAGACATTTAAGACATTATCACATGATCCTTCTCACCTTTGTCTTTAAACCAGACGCCAGTTGGCTAACCCTTCATCAATAATTGCTCCACCATATGATTTTCTAATGTTCTCTCTTCACCTATATATAGACTATAGAGTCATAGTTTCACAAGCAGGTTAAGTCCTCTAAGTTTTCGAAGCATCAAATAGCCTCTTAAATCAAGTCCTTTGAAATTATTGATCTTTTCTACTTCACCAAATAGAAATTCAAAACGATGGGTTTTCATTTGCCCAGTATTCGAAGGCGTGGGGATGTCCCAAAGGGCCATGTTGCAGTGTATGTAGGAGAGAACCGAAAGAAGAGGTTTGTGATTCCAATATCATACTTGAACCATCCTTCATTTCAAGAATTATTGAGTCAAGCTGAAGAAGAATTTGGTTTTGATCATCCGATGGGTGGCCTAACAATTCCTTGTGCTGAAGATATCTTCCTAGATCTCACTTCCCGCTTGTGTAGGTCATGAAGAGACCGGGAATCTGAAAAACTAACAAGGACTAACAGTATTGTAAATCTTTCTTCTCATTCTTTTTTGTCCCTTCCTGGGAAATAGAAAAATGTATTCACAAGCAGAAATTAATGAACAGATTTTTCTGTTATCAGTTTGATTCCCTTCATGAAATTTTCATTGGCAGTTTATTTGTCTCATTGTCAGTTGGATTACCGTTCTTCTTTGATGGACTAGACTTGACGAAAGAATCATAGTAATGGGATAAGGATCAAAATTAAAACCTTATAGATGATCTCCAGAGGAAGTTAACCTTTCTTTATTAATTGTTCCTTTTGTCCTAGACTAATGAAGATCATATACAGATAAGCAAATTCAAATTAATAAATTAATTCTTAACAAGTTTTGAAGTTTGAATCACGAGATCGTCCTAGCAAGACATTGTTAATTACAGCATGAAGAGAATCAAAAGGATAATGATTACATTTTATTTATATTGCAAAACACAAACTCTGAAGACGTCTTATTTTTTTAGAGACAATTAAAATAAAGATATCAAAATGCAAGTTTTGTTAGGCCTGCCACAGAACACTGATATGATATTTGTTGATTGGATTTCAGTGACATGCGAGTTTGAGAACTTAGCGTTAACATTCAAACAGAGTCGCTGAAGAACATTCACAGACCATCTTTCTTGGACAGCGTATTTAACCTGAGTTTTGTTAGAATAAGTAACCGTTGCAAACAAAATCATTAAAGGGAGTATGAACAATGAAAGTAATTTTCCCTAGCATTGAGGAATAGTCATACTTTCATGCATGTTAGTAATAAGATGAATACTATTGGTTTGAGATTAAGGGAAAAAAGAAAAAGGAAAAGAATCAAGAGCTTAAGATACAAATAATAGGAAAAATGGCACGCATTACTGCAGCTCATAATGGTGCCATAGAGTATAACAACACGGCTGATTTATTAAAATGACAGCACAGGTCTCCAATCAAACATTTCCTGTGTCCTACTAGTTTTCCTAGATTTTTCTTTGACACGAAATAAAAAGAAAATAAAATAATGTGAGATATCTTTATTAAGCATATCAATAATGCAATAGGTCAGATAACACATAGCTAGAAACAGATAATATGTATAAGGTCTGAGGGGTGAGGGGGACATATTGCTGATCCTTGAAAAGCACCTTTCAAGACAACACCACGTGATCTCTCATGAGACCTTGTCTCTCCCTTTAGACCCCATCACATAGTCCCTCCCTCCAATTATTCAAACAACACAAATCCATTCATCTATATATACCATACTTGCATGCCTTCGGAAGCCACTCAAGTCTTCCACAATATTCTCAACCACATCAAGATTCAAATACTTGCTTCTTGTTCTCCTTAACACATTACAGCCATGGGTTTTCGTTTGCCTGGAGTTAGAAGGGCTTCATCTTCAAAATCTGGTGAAGTGGCAAAAGGGTACCTTACAGTGTACGTTGGAGAGAAAGCTAAGAGATTTGTGATCCCTCTATCATATTTGGACCAGCCTTCATTTCAAGAGTTGTTAAGTCAAGCTGAGGAAGAATTTGGGTTTACTCATCCAATGGGTGGCCTCACAATTCCTTGCGAAGAAGATGTCTTCTTGGATATCACTTCTAGATTCAAAGGGTGCTGACAATACATGAAAAGAAAATTTGACTGACACAGATAGGTCAACAATACAGTTTTGTAAAAGATGATTTCCCTTTCCTCTTTTCCCTTACTTGGAAAGTGAAAAATTGTTCATATGAATAAGAAATTCATGAATTCTTTTTTTTTGGTTACTAAAGGCATTCAACTTTCAATTTCCCTTTTTTTAAATATTTTTTTTTTAATATGACAGTTACTACAGAAAGCAAACATGAAGCAACCATCCTATATATATAGAACAAATATATGGATAGATTCTAAAATTCTAAAGAAACTATTCCTAAAATTCAACTTTCAGTTTGGCTTATTGAATTTATATTCTTATTTGTTGCTAAATTGCGGAACACAGAATTATATCCTTTGGTCTAATAAAATCTAATCTTGAATTGCCTTGGGGGTCTGATAGGTTTCTGTAGAAAAGTGCGAGGACATCCTGGAAGCCCTCTGAATTAATAATACACTTTATTCATATAAGACTCAGTAGACACATCTACATTTCCTAATTTTTTTTTCAAATATATGCTTTTATTTGGTGATCGAAGAGCAAGCGTCATTTCTTTCTCCATCTTTCTTGGTATTATCTCAAATTTACCAAAAATATGTGAACGCAACAACTTGTAAAACTAGCAACTACTACCTCCGGTCCTTATTATAAGACCTCGTTTGATTTTTATTTTGGTCCTAAATATAAGATCCCAATTCACTTTGTTTCTCATATATATATATATATATATATTTAAGGTAGTCCTTCTAATTATGATAATTCTAGTTAATGAACTTAATTAGCAAGGATATTTTAGGAAATACAACACCTATTTATAATAAATAACTAACTTAACTTATTTCTTTAATCTACTTTAATTAATCAACTAGCTCTTATATTTATGACTGGATATAGTGTATTAATTTTATATGGTCCACTCTGTTATCCATAGATTTCCTTGGACCAGGCTCTTCGATGAATTGTGTCCACTGAAGTAAGTCCTCTCTAGCATGAGATCATACTTGAACTATAAAAGTAAGACTAGATATTCGGCAAAGTTGGGCAAGTCACAGCCACTTGGTCTAAGATTTCATATAAAATATGGAGTTGAGTTGCTTTCTGATATCAGCACCACAGATCCAATATAACACGGACTTCTCTTCGGGGTTCCCTCTCTGCTTATACCAGGCCCCATTTCTCTATGGTAGGAGCCATTCTTTAATTCTCTAACTAGTGAAGCAGCATCTTCACATGAACCTGCTTGTTGTTTTAAGGCCACAACATATGATACTATGGTGTCTGCCACTTCGATACTAAAGATATTGCCCATTTTTTTAAGGAAAACAGAGAGCATCGTTATCCATAAATACTTCTAATGTTAATCAAATTACCTATTCATTTTCGTCATTTAGCTATTCCTGATGTAGCTAACAGAACAATTCCTTCAGCTAAAATTCCATTAACATGTTCATTAATTACAACAAAATTTTAGTCATTCTCATCTATATCAGAAAATTTTGTATTTTTTTAAAGTCCCAAATTTCTTTTCCATTATCTAGTTGCACATAAGAATAAGGCAGGCAAAATCCCCCTAACAAGCTAACATTCTGAAAAGTTATCAACCTGAGCTGATGAAGTTATAAACCTGCTGCAGTGGATTATTATTGATTTGATATTTAAGTGAAACACAACTAAAAAAATTACAAGATGGATACTATTACATTCAGATTGTCTATATATGATTACGAGAGAACCTAATGAAGAACATTTACATATAATTTGATTCACAATATAATTAACCTGAGTTTGTAATGACTTGTTACAAACCAAACCAAATCATAACAGGAAGCATGCAATAATTTTCCCATAGTAATGAAGGAGTTTACTTCCATGCCATCCAAGTTACAAGATGGATACTATTACATTCAGATTGTATAAAAGATAAAGAAAAGAAAAGAAAATTTGGAGTTTAACCATACACACGCAATGAAAACAGTCACACACATTATTTCAGCTTTTACTGTTAGCATATACTATTAACGATTACAGCTTGCTGAGTTAGAAGACAGCATTGGACTTCAACGAAACATCTCCTGAGCACCACAAGTTTCCCTATACATCCATTTGTCGGGAAAAGAATGAGATACCTCTATTGAGCAGATGAATAATGCAAAGGGTTTGGATGGTGCATTTCTGAAATAGAATAGATTAGGCCTCAAGAGGTGGGGCATCCTGTTTATCCTTGAAAAAAGACTTCTAAAGACAACACCATGTGACCTCTAACGAGGCCTTGTCTCTCCCTCTAGGGCTCTTTCACATTGTCCCTCCTCCACCAATATTTCAAGTAACACATTTTTTTAGAAGAGCTTCATCTTCAAAATCAAGAGAAGTGCCAAAAGGATATCTTGCAGTGTATGTTGGAGAAAAAATGAAGAGAGATTGTGATCCCTATATCATACTTGAACCAACCTTCATTTCAAGATTTGCTCAGTCAAGTTGAGGAGGAGAATTTGGGTTTGATCATCCAATGGGTGGCCTCACAATTCCTTGCTCAGAAAATGTCTTCTTGGATATCACTTCTAAGTTCTAACTTCATCGGGTGCTGACTTGGGAGAAATTAGACTAACATAGATGAGTCAACAATACAGTTTTAATGATTATTTTCCTTTCCTCTTTTACCTACTTAGGACCTGAAAAATTGTACATATACAGAAATTATGAATTCTCAGTTTGGTTACTAAAGGCTTTGAACTTTCAATTTTGGCTTATTTATTGAATTTATTCTTAGCTTGTAGCAAAATTGAGGGAAAAAATTATATCTTTGATCCAATAAAATCCATTCATGAATATTCTAGGGGTACCCCAAAGGCTTCTGCAGAAAAGTGCAAGTATATCCACTACAATTAACAAAAGTTTCTATTGGGGTTAAGTAAGAAAATCTACATTTCATAATCGAATCGTAGTTAGTTTTTCTCAAATCTGTACTTCTATTTAATAACGGAAGAGCTAGCATCATTTTTGTTTGTGTCTTCACTCTTGATTAATATTATCAAATTTACCAAAAACATGTGGATGTGAGAACTTTCAAAAACTAGCAAATATATTGATTTGTGGTGGTCCACTTTGTTACTTCTAGATTTTTCGGACCGTCCTCTTTGATGCGTTGCGGCCCACTGAAGTAAGATCTCTGTGACGTGAGATCGCATTTCATCCAAAAAGTAAGACCACATGTTGGCAAGCTGCCACTTGTGCTAAATTTCATAATATGAGGTTCATTTTATTTCTGGTAGCAACACCATAGATCTAATATAACAGCATCTTCACATGAGCTTGCTTCTTTTTGTGGTTGCCACAACAAATGAAGCTATGGTGTCTTCTATTCATATTAGATGTTGTCCATTTTGGAGAAAAACAGAGTATTCTCATCCATAGATTCATTGATTTATACCTCCCTTTAGTTAAATTCTAAACCAGTCATTAATTTAACAATACTGTGAGATATAAATATAATTCCAAATCCCATGGACCTAGCCTTCGAGGAGGATTAATGAAAAATTCGTAACAGCCAAGCCAAGCTATGGTTCTGAGGGGAAAAAACACGTTTCATGGTAGTTCATCTGCATGAAACGGTCTCTTACAGTATGTGTTTTGTCCATACCTTCTGACAAAAGAAGTCACAACGAAGTTCAATGTCTTAAGTGTTGTTGGAAGACGCTATATCAGTTTGCCTGGTCAAGATAAAACAAAGACATGAGATGTCTTAAGCATGTATTGAAATTCATATGACAACAATGAAAAACATTGGAGAGACAGTAGGTTTTGAATTGAACCTAAGAAATTATCCTTCTCGATAAATTGACAAAGACATTCAAGACATGATCAATGATACTTCTCACCGATTTGGCTAACTCTTCACCAGCACTTTCACGACCACATAAACTCTAATATGGAGTCACGGTCCAGTCAGGTCAATAATTTCATAGAGAAGCTAATACGATGCTAGAACAGACTCAATAAGGAGGGACATATTTTTGATCCGAGACAAAGACCTCTCGAGACAACGCCATGTGACCTCGAATGAGCCCTTGTCTTCCTTGTGGGCCCTGCCTCATAGCCTCCCTTCCCAATCATTCAAGCAACACAAATCCTTTCATCTATATATACTGTTTCTTGTAAACGTTTGGAGGCAACACAAATCTTTCAGAATATCCCCAACCTCAAGCATACAAATTCAAATACCTGCTTCTTGTTCTCTTCTTTGAACACATCAAAGCAATGGGATTTCGTTTACCTGGAATTAGGAGGCCTTCCTCTTTCAAAATCCAGCATGATTTCCAAAGGGGTATCTTGGAGTATGGAGAGAAGGAGTGATCGTCATCCAGATCGTATGTCCTTCAATCCAGCCCGTATTTAGGAAGAGATTTGGATTGTCATCAATCCACTTGCAGCCTTCATTTCAAGAGTTGCTTGTCAGGAAGAATTTGATCATCCAACGGGTGGCCTCACAATTCCTTGCATCAAGATGTCTTCCTCAATATACTTCTAGCTTCAACGGATGCTAACTTGTAGAGAAATTAGACTAACATAGATGAGTTGACAATACAGTTTTGTAATATCCTTTTCTCTTTTCATTAATTGGGCAGTGAAAATTGTTCATGTGAATGAGGAATTCATGAATTATCATTTTGATTATTAAAGGCATTTAACTTCCAGTTAGACGATTGAATTTAAGCTCTTGTTATATATTAACATTAAGTAAAATGCAATTGATTCTTAGTTCCAATAGAACTCATCCAATCTGGAATTTGCTTGGGAGTGCCAAACCCTTCTGCAGAAAAGTGCAAGGAGATCCTCGGAAGCCCTCTTTGACCAAAATAAAAATCCTCTGAAACCCTCAACAAATTTAGCAAAACATTTTTATTGACACTTTAAGATGGATACACATTTTATATCAAATCTTATAACAAAAATGACAATATTTTCTTTTTTCCATTATCAACAATATTTTCTCAGACTTACTAGCAACTATATTGATTTTATATGGTCCACTTTTTTATTCATAGATTTTCATGCGGCCTCTGTATCCATCGAGGGCTCTGGAGGATTTCCTTAGTGACATGAGATCATTTTTCATCCATGAAGGCAAGATTA